TTCAACCTCAAATACTATGTACTATGTAAAAGAAATTATTTTCCACATTGTAGATGCTCTATGCCTTAGGGCTCTTTATTCAAGTTCTACACAGAATAATTTGCAGCTTAAAAAGGTTTCTTAATTGGTTCTGAACAGTGGGCAAAGCACAGGCTTACGTTTTTGTTTTTTTTTCTTGTTTGTAAAATATTTTATATAAATGTTTAAAAAATAAATAAAAACAAGCACCCGATGCAGAGTGTTGACACATAATTCACAAGGTATTAGGGGGTTTTCTCATGAGACTGTGAGACAGAAATGGTTATCTTTCAGACTCTTTGATCAACACTCCATAAAGCCCCTATCTGAAGAGAGCAGAGGTGGGATGAGTTATTTGTACGACTCATCGAGTTGTGTGGTGTTGAGCTCTGTGAACGGGCTTTTTTTCAGTGACGTAGTTGAGGATAGCCTGGAACTCTGCCTGGATGGATATGTAAATATGAAACATTCATGTGTGCTATTTTATATGACAAACATGGTATATGTTAAACGCTATGCATTTCTTTAAATGCTTAGTCAGGGCGATGCTATTACCTTGATGTGATTCATGCTTGCTTGGTTATGTGAGCACTATTTTAGTGCAGTCACTTCAATTCATTGAGAATTTTTTACAATTAATTTGTTTGTCAATACAAATAATTAGTATAATAAATGTGTCACATGAATTATATGTGACATAGGATATACCTTAGATGGCAAAAGAAGTATGATGTATGACGTTCATATCCAGCAAAGTGTGTTTTTTTTTCACTACATTTTTGGATCATGAAGGGTTAACTTGGGCAGAACTGGTTTTGGCTGTTAAGTGCTTTATAACACACCATGGTGCCTTCTTGGGCAATCGCTCAAAAGTTTACCTACACACTTATTTGTTAATGTGTGCCACCATGGGGTGGGGGGTCAGAAGTTTTAAAGTTGGGGTGTATGAAGCATAGAGGGAGCTGAAAAGACACCAATTGGAGTAGGGGCTGGGTAGGAGCTGACCACAAGGGAACAATGCAGAGCCTGAATGTTTAAAATGCTATTAGAGGGAAAATGCTTTTAAGCTATTCTCCATGCTGATGAAATTGCTAACAATTGATTCTGCTCCTTGACGTATAAAAGTTGTAGCTTCCTACAGAATCGGCTGGTCCCATAGGCACTGAACCCGATATCCTGTTTTAGGACTAGGAACCACTCGTGTGTGTGCTAGTCAACTCCACAAGAACACAGGCACAGAATGGTAAGACACTCTGCTTTCCACCTCCCTCCTCCAAGCTAGTAGATGGACAGCGGCTGGAGACTGCTCTGTCCTTTGTCATCTTCTACTGCCCAGGAAGTTCAGGGAAGTTGAGCATTGGAGCCAACTGTTTGGAAACATGACTGTAAGTGTTCGGGCAGTTATGTAAAGACGTACGTGACCTTTACTGAGCAATATATATTGGTCTGATCTGGATTAATTACTGAAAAAGTTTGAGAGTTAAATACTGCTTTTGCTATGGACTTTCAAGGGATTAGATATGGCAGGATGGCAAATGGTGGTTC